TCGAAAGCTGCCAGGCCAAGGCTAAAGGGCGTCTCGGTCGAGCGAAGTTGGCACAAATGCTCGTTGGGGACCTCATGCAGGCAGAGTGCTGCACTAGCTGCGTACATCCCTGAGCCCGCATTCTGCGACTGCAGGGGCGCGGGCAAGAGGAGGAGCTGGGAGATGTTTCGCCGGAGCGTTCGGTGCCTTGGCTCCGGCTGTTGGTGAGACAGCCCTCCACCTCCTGATGCTGCCGATGCTACAAGTACTGCCCTGATTCTCTTTTGGTTTAGGGTTTAGGGTTNNTAGGGTTTAAGGTTTAGGGTTTGGCTACTGCCGCTGTCAGGTCCAGGCGCCCTCCTCGCCAGTGACGCCGGCGCAGTCGTCAGCTCGGCCCCCGTCGCCGCCGAAGCCGAGCGCTCCGGTGGCGAAGCGCTCGCCTCCGCCCCCGGCGCCACCGAAGGCCAAGGCTTGAGGGGAGGGATGAAGGAAGCGGATCACAGGCCGCAGCTCTCACATACTTCGATCTTTAAGCTTTACGTGGAAATTTAGGTGGTTGTCAAAACTATGGTCCCTGTTTGGGTCCTTATTATAATACGGCACCTATTATTTAGGGTACCCCAAAAGGGACCATAATTTTGACAACTACCCATTTGTGTGTAAGCCCGGGCCTCGAAGTGATTTGCGTTCCAGGCCGGAGCCTCTGTCCGCCCCTCCGAGCGTGAAGCACCGCGGGCGGGGCTTCGAACACAGGCTGCCGCAGCTTGGCCTGAACTCTGCAGGGACTCTGTGTCGGGAGTTTCCGAAAATCAGGGGGTACCTTATTTAGGGGTCCTTATAATAAGGATCCTACTATTTAGGGTACTATATTAGGGTCCCCTGTTTTGTAGGCTGAAGGACAGCATTTTGTGATTTTCTGTCTTCGAGCTTCGCAGCACATAGTTATCAGCAGTCTCAGACAGCCCGTCACATGTCTTAGCTGTCTTGGAAGCATAGGCTTCAAGGCAAACTTGCGGTGCGAATGTTGGATCCGACTTTGTGAACCTCAAAGGGGGACGTTGTGGTGGCGGCACTGCAAAAGCAGTGGTCCGGTCGCCGCCATGGCGAAGTAGCCAAGTTCAGTGGAAGAACTGATTCTATCTCCCACTGCTCTTAAACCCTAAACCCTAAACCCTAAACCCCAAACCCTAAACACTGCTCTCTCCCCCTGTTAGGGGCAACGCCATATCCAGCCATCCAGCCCCGCAAAAAAAAGGCACAAGAACCTTGAACCCTAGGTCCCGTGTACCCTAAACCCTAAACCCTAAACCCTAAACCCTAAACCCTAAACCCTAAACCCTAAACCCTAAACCCTAATCCCTAAACCGAACCCTAAACCCTAAACCCTAAACCCTAATCATTCTCATTTTTTGCCGCCGGGCCGATGGCGTCGGAATCGCTGGAGCCTGCGCCGGAGAAGCCGGTGGCTCCATGCGCGGCGAGACCAACGCCTCAGCTGCCTGCAAGCGAGCCCGCACCTCTGCACCTCGCAGAGCTTCGGAAGTGACTATTTTGGGGTTGCAGCTTGCTGTTATAGTAGAATATGCCCCAAAATTTATTATAATTATTAAGATTCCCCGTATTAGGCTTCCAGGTTTTGAACGCTAAACTCTAAACCCTAAACCCTAAACCCCAAACCCTAAACCCCAAACCCTAAACCCCAAACCCTAAACCCTAAACCCTGGTACAGTTGTCGGGCCTGTCTTTCTGATAGCTTGCTCGGCTGTCTCAGCACAGCCAAGGCCTGGGCAGAGCCCCGAGGAGAGTGCGGGCAAGCATGCATTCGGCACTGTAGCACTATGCCTACCGACCGTCCGTGACACAGTGGTAGCATCTCTCATCGTCATGATTTTCCTCACAGCAGGCCGGAGGCTCAGAGTATATTCTAGGACGACATGTCCAGGAAGCGGCGGTGGTGTTCTGTGCATCTTGAGGCCTGATTGTCTTGACATTTTCCGAGCAAGGGCTACCAGGCTCGGGCCGTGTTCTGGTACGTCTTAGGAGACTGGGTCTTGGGTGCCGTTGGGCGCTGTGCCCTGGCAGGTGAGTCCAAGACCTATGGTACCTCTCTGTCTTTGCGAGTGGTGGGCTGGGCCGTTCTGTACTACATCCCCGTCCACTGCATCGCAGTGAGCAATGTTCGCGGTTTCACGCTCTTCGGCAATTTGCCTGGAAGCAGTGTCTGCATCTGCAGCAGGATTGCGGGGCAGTCCGCGAATTTCATGCACACTGCCATCTCTGTGGACAGATGTCGCGGCAGCACTGTAGCTCTAAGCCGCGTACACGAGGGTGGGGCAGGAACCGGGCCACCAGATCCGCGAGCCCCGCAGGGAGCCCAAACAAACTCTTTCAGCCGTCTTTCGCAGGACTGCTTTCGCACCCACCGCGGTCGCAGACTATGCCACGCTCGGCGGCAGCAGTTCTAGACACGCATGGCTGCTTGTCAAGATCAAATCTTACAGCGCAGAGTCTGGACGCCCCCCCCGGCAAGACAGCTTCATGACAAATCGGTCTGCAAGACTCGTGTCAGGTTTGGTGCAGTGATCTGGCACATCCTGTTTTTCGTGCTCTACTCGTCCTTCTTTCTGATCTATTGTGGAGAAGCCTCTCGGCTCTAGGAATCAGGGACCTTGGGTCACCCTAAACCCTAAACCCTTTAGAACCAATTGCGCTAAACCCTAAACCCTTTTTAGAACCAAAAAGCGGCCGTCTCCTGCTTACGCTTCCGTTCTTTGACTTCGCACAGGAAGGGCTGAAAGTTGTTCCCGAAAGTAAACTGCAAACCCTTCTATTCCTGGCTGTTTTTCTTGGCAGCTGCAAAGGGTTGCCCGCGGCCGGAGGGCCTCTCTCTTTGTATATATAAACGAATATATATATATATATATATATATATGCACATTAATATGGCACCCCCCCTAGAGTCTGCGTATGTCTAGTATGTCGGTATAGCCCTGGTCTTCACACATATCTCGTATCTGTGCAGATGTACATGCCTTTGCGAATGTACGTGGTGACATTCTTGTACCTGCGCATGCTGCAGAAGACAGACGTGCATCCGGAACGAGCGCGCGCGATCAATCAAGCAAAGAGAATCAAAAATACCAAAACCCATAGGCCAACACATGAGCACATTCTTCGAGACAGTCCCCAAAATACCAAAGAACCAAAGATTCCAAGCCATTCCCTATGGCTGTATGTTGTTTTTGGGACTGTCTCGCGAAATGGCTTTTGGACTGGCTTCAAATCTTCGCTTTGTTTTCGTTTTTGTGGGACTGTCTCGAGGAATATGCTTATGTTTCAGCTTATGGGTTTTGGTATTTTGGGTTTTTGGGATTGTCTCGAAAAATATGCGCACATGAGTATATTCCTCGAGAGTCCTCAAAAAAGCCAAAGACTCCGAGCTGCTCCGAAATGGCTTCTGGAATAGCTCCAAATCTTTAAGCTTTTTTTTGGATTTTTTGGGGGGGCCTGTCTCGAGAAACATGCTTCTGTTTTACGCCTACAGGTTTTGGTATTTCCGTTTCTTTTTGGGACTGTCTCGGAAAATATGCTCATATGAGTATCTATGGGCTTTGGCATTTGCGTTTTTTTTTGGGACTGTCTCGAGAAATGGCCTTTGGAACAGCTCTGAGTCTTTGTGATTTTGGCTGTTTTTGGACTGTCTCGAGGGATATGGTTTCTTTTGCGGCTGTCTTGAGAGATATGCTAATTTTGACAGGACGAGACACACTCTCCGAAAAAATGCCACACGCACATAAACATAAGTATATATGGTCAGGCGCTCCGCGGCNNACACACACACACACACCCACACTTACATATAAGGTCAGGCGCTCCGGGCCCCCCCCTCATGGTCCATGGTCCAGTATCCCCCCCTCCTCTGTGCGTGGGGTGTGGGGTCCCTCTTCTCCCCTGTGGTGTAGTTGTGGGGTTTTGGGGTTTTGGATTTAGCTCAAGCTTTTGAGTTTGGGGTTTAGGGTTTAAGGCTAAAAGTTGTAAGGCTTCGAGTCGACAAGAGCTTAGGGAAGGTCTGGGGTGTAGGTTGGTTTATGTTCTGCTTCAAGCTTAGAGCTTGCATTTAGGCGGGTTTAGGGTTGGGTGTAAGGTTTAAAGAATTAAGTACAGGTTAAGGTTACTAAAGACAGGAACACGCCCTACGTTATAGGGTTTATGGCTTGCGTAGGGCTTGCGCAAGATCCCTGACCTCTCTGTGAGCCCTGGCCGCCCCCAGCAGCACCCCACCCAACCGCC